AATATAAGAGAAAATAATCTTCTTTCTTAGCTTAGTTATAATTTTAATACTAACTCAGATTGAATATTATTAATATATAAAAGTAAATAAATAATCTTGATTAATCTCTGTCATATTTCTTGAAATATATTAATATTATAAAAGAGAGTGTTATCAAATTATATTATCAGATAATATTATTAAAAATATATTAATATTATAAATATTAATATTGAAAAAATATTAATACTTATACATTATAGTAATATAATAGTTGAATATATATATATATATTATTTCTGATATTAATAATTGATTATAACTTGTACAATAATTTTTGAAAACTTAAAATTAATTTCAATTATTAACTAATAGTTACAAACTTATAACTGACTTGGCTCAGTGATGTAGTGATTAACTATGCTATCATAAAGCCTCAATTAGCGGCCTTCCCCCCAGGGAATGAATGCTAAGAGAGGGCAGGTTCAAACCCTGCAAGAGTTATCTTAACCACAGCTTTCACTGTTAAGTTATAAAACAGTATCAGAGACTCTCAGATGCACTATAGTGAATTATTATCAAGCTTAAAATGTTTATTCTGAGAGTTCCTGAGCACTAATTCTCACTGATCTTAGAGTTAATAGTCTCTCAGATGCTTCAAGTTAGATCAGTACTAGAGTGATTGAGATCTAGAGTGTCTGCAGAATAGTGAATTATTATCAAGCTTAACTGGCCAGGTCTCATCTCTCTCACTCTAGACACTCACTTCTGAGAAATGAGATTTAAAAACTATTCAATTAGAACACTCTGAGCCTAGCAAGAACCTAGATGAGACAAGATCTAGACACTCTTAATAGGTGATTAGTGTAAGCAAGACTGTGATGATCAATTGATAGACTGAAATACTGAGATTGACAGCTGAAAGATTAGAGACTTAACTAGAATTGAGTAGCTCTGATATTATTCTTAGTGAGAATCTCACTTATAAATAAGCTAGTTACAGGAGCTAGCTGAGCAGCAGCTCTTTAGAGGGAATGATAATTTCTGAAGCAGGCCTGAGAGAACAGAGGCAGCGGTCAGTTATATAGAATGTTAAAATATATATATAGCTTAAGATGTAAACTGCAGAAATCTTGTTCTGTAGCTCTTTTTACTGTACTTATTTCTTTCTATTCTTTTCTATCTATCTATTTAATATATCTATCTTTAAGACTATGTTCTCTTTTTCTTTGTCATGATATTTTCAAATGATTTCAAAGTATCAGAAGATGTTGAAATACTGTAATTTATAAACAGTTTTTGTATTCTGAGCTGGAATTTTCTGATTTTGTATATCTGAAATTGATAAATGTATAATAGTTGACTCTATAGATATAGGAAAAACTCTGAGAATTAAAGGTTCTCAGGTAGATATCATAGTCTCTGACTGCATATATCTATAATTGAAGAATAATAATAATAATAATATAACTGACTAATATAAAAAGAAAAAAACTTTTTCTACTCATTATCTTTCTTCTCTTTCTCATTCTTCTTATCATTTTTTATAATTTACTTCTTATTCTCATTCTTCTTCTTCTTCTTATCTGAGATAATAATCATCTTAAAATCTTTCTCTGCTGCCTTCTCAGAGAAGAGTTTCTGCTACTTTCTCTTAGTCAGGTCAATCTGCATCTCAAAATCCTGCATTTTCTGATCTACTATCTCAGGTTTCATCTCAGTAGTAAGTAGATTGACATGTTCAGAGAGCAGAACTGTCTTCTCAATATTCTGAATTATGAAGTGTATTCAAGATCTGAATAAGGCTTTAATTTCCTTCTTCTCTGTCAGCTTCTGCTAATCAATTAGAGAACAGAAGTGTTATCAAAAATTATTATCTTTTAATAAAAAACTTATCAGTTTTAACTTCTTTATCTCTCACTTTAATATCTTCTTAATCTTCTTCTGTTATTACTTATTTATAATAACACTCTTCTTCTCTCTCTCTCTTTTCATCTTAATTTCAAATTATTCTCAGAACTTCTTCTGATCTTATTACTACTGTATAAGACTCTTCACTGTCTTCTTTTTCAATCTCTTACAGACAGTATCATCTGTATTATTTCTATACTTAGTTCAGTCTAAATCTATCAGAAGTGTTACTTAAAATTGTTATTATTCTACTCTCTTACAGAGTCTCTTTAAGATATTATAATATATCTTACAATCTGTCTCTCTGTACTTGAACATCTTCTTCTTCTCTTTCTTCAATCTGTAATAATGCTCACGCGCCTTGATGATCTGCAGAACCGCAGAATATTTGAAGAGAAATAACATGATTGATTTTAATAAGTATTAAGAGAGAGTGAAGATAGAAAAGACAGCTAGTAATAATATAATAATAATAGTGATAATGATGATAATAATAATAATGATAATAATAATGATAATAATAATAATAATAATAATAATGAAAGAGAGAGTGCATCAGAATATATTATTAACTTATTAAATATAAAAAGAGATAAAGAAACTATTAATAGCTTTCAGAGATGTACAGAAACAGCTACAGTATTACATAGTAACATTATCTTCATTTAATATATACACTATTGATATTCTTTGTATACATTTATTATATAATCTATATCAGAGATACATGCAGAAAACAGATCTTTATTACTAGAGAGAATGATTACAGTGATTCTCTGTTTTTATATTATAAAGATAAGTTATTCTTATTTCTTTCTTCTCTCTTTTCTCCTCTTCTTCAACTCATCACTAAGTTCAAGCTGGTATGAAAACTATTAAAATACTCTTAGAAACTCTTAAATTAAAGAGTATAAACTAATCAAATTTTAAATGCAGATGAACTAAATTATATTTAATAATACTAATTATTCATCTTCTCTCTAATAAAATGATAGTTATATCTTCTCTCTTCTCTCTCAAATGAAACATGATCTGTGAAAAGTGAGTATTATATCAGATTATAATGATTAACATGATCTCAGCATGTAGAGCTGTATACACACAGTATATACTGAACTAAGAGACTGTGTGAGTTGTAAATTAACAGCAGCATTTCAGAAAGAGCTGTGCAGTATAAGAAAGCTGCAACTCTCAGTTATATATATAGAAAGTGAATCACTGCAGTAAGTATATATGTATTACATGAAAGTAATACTTTTTAATAACACTTAGTTTCTAATATTATAAAAATAGAGTCTTTCTGTGAGATCTGTTTTTATCAGAAATCAGAGAATCTTATATTTCTTAAGATTAGACTGACCGTGTGACCATGTCTGAGACCAGGATCAAACTTTACAGTTGTCACATTGCCTAAAAGCATTACTTCTGATCATGGTTTATGTTCATCACATTGATCTCAAATCATGTTATTTCAAATATTAAAGATCTCAGATTCACTTTTCAAATAAAAATCTAGTCTCAGATAAAGAATATGTTTGAATTCTTAGTCACATTTTCATTCTGATCTTATTATTGAGAATGGTATCAAATGAAATCATGAAATCATTTCTCACTTACATAATATCATAACATAGTGCTCATTTGTTGAAAATTCAACAGAGAGTATTATCAAATATTATTACTTTTCTGAACACAGATTATAATTTATATAATTTTAATTACTAGAGACCTAGGCACCCCTAACCCTACATAATAGTAATTGTCGGTCATGCGTTTCCTGAGACCTGAACAAAATGAAGAAGAAAACATAAAGACATGAATACATAATATCGAACATAAAATCAAGATTCCAGAGCTGCAGCACTTTCAAAATACTCACTTATCAGAGTCTTCACAATATTAATCATCAACTGTGTATCTCTCACAGTGAGAATAACACAGCTGTGATGAGTTATTGTCTTAATATTATCTAACAAATAATCAGTATATATCTGTATAAATGTGAATAATTAGAAAACATACACTTAAAAAGTGTGGTCAGAGTGAACTCTGCTGTCACTTGAATAACATCAAGAACAGAATGCTGAAATCAATGATTTTCTTCATTAATTTCACAGACAAGATGTATGAAGATGATCTTGAGAAATATAAGATTCTCTGACTTCTGATAAAAACAGATCTCATGAAGAGACTCTATTTTCATAATATCAGAGACTGAGTGTTATTAAAAAGCATTACTTTCATGCAATGTATATGTACTTACTGCAGTGATTCACCCTCTGCATACATGGCTGAGAGTTGTGGCTTTCTCACATCACACAGCTCTCTCTGGGATGCTGCTGTCAGTTTGCAACTCATGCAGTCTCCCAGTTCAGCACACACTGCATGTATGCAGTCCTGCATACTGGGGCTGTATTAGTCATTATAACCTGATGTGATACTCACTTTTCACAAGCCATGTTTCATTTGAGAGAGAGGGAAGAAGATGCAACTGTTGTTTTATTGAGAGAGAAATGAATAATTAGTATTATTGAATGTAATTTGATTCATCTGTATTTAAAATTTGATTAGTCTATACTCTTCAATTTGAGGGTTTCTATGAGTGTTTTAATAGTTTTCATATCAGCTTGAACTTAGTGATGAGTTGAAGAAGAAGAGAAAAGAGAGAAGAAAGAAATGAGAATAACTTATCTTTATAATATGAAAACAGAGAATTGCTGTAATCATTCTCTCTAGTAACAAAGATCTGTTTTCTGCATGTATTTCTGATATAGATTATATGATAAATGCATACAAAGAATATCAATAGTGCATGCATTGAATAAAGATAATATTGCTATATAACACTGTAGTCATTTCTGTACATCTCTGAAAGCTGTTAATAGTTTCTTTGTCTCTTTATATTTGATAAGTCAATAATATATTCTGATGCACTTCTCATTTCATTATCATCATCATTACTATTATCATCATCATCATCATTATTACTATCATTATCATCATCATCATCATTATTATTATCATTATCATTATCATCATTATTATCATTATCATTATTATTATATCATTGCCTGCTTTCACTCTCTCTTTAACACTCATTAAAATCAATTATGTCATTTCTCTTCAAATATTCTGTAGTTCTGCAGATCACCAAGGTGCGTGAGCACTGTCATAGATTGAAGAGAGAGAAGAAGAAGATATTCAAGTGTGAGAAGACAGATTACAAGACATGTTATAATGCCTTGAAGAGACTCTGTAAGAAAGTAGAATAATAATGATTTTAAGTAACACTTCTGATAGATTTAGACTGAACTAAGTATAGAAATAATGTGAATGACACTGTCTGTGAGAGATTGAAAAAGAAGACAGTGAAGAGTCTCATACAGCAGCAGTGAGATCAGAAGAAGTCTCAAGAATAATTTGAGACTAAGATGAAGAGAGAGAGAGAGAAGAAGAGTATTACTGCAAATAAGCAGTAGCAGAAGAAGATTGAGAAGGTATTAGAGTAGAAGACAAAGAAGTCAAAACTGATAAGTTTTTTATTAAGAGATAATAATTTTTGATAACACTTCTGTTCTCTAATTGATTAGCAGAAGCTGGCAGAGAAGAGAATTAAGACCTTGTTCAGATCTCAAATGTGCTCCATGATTCAGAATATTGAGAAGATAGCTCTGCTCTCTGAATATGTCAATCTGCTTACTGCTGAGGTGGAACCCGAGGCAGCAGACCAGGAAATGTGGGATTTTGAGGCACAGATTGACCTGGCTGAGAGGAAGCAGTGAGAACCCTTCTCTGAGAAGGCAGCAGAGAGAGATTTTGAGATGATTATCATCTCAGATGAGAAGAAGAAGAAGGAGAATGAGAATGAGAAGTGAATTATAAAGAATGATGAGAAGAATGAGAAAGAGAAGAAAGATAATGAGTAGAAAAAGTTTTTTCTTTTTATATTAGTTAGTTATAAGTTTGTAACTATTAGTTAATAATTGAAATTAATTTTGAGTTTTCAAAAATTATTGTACAAGTTGTAATCAATTATCAATGTCAGAAATAATATATATATATATATTCAACTATCATGTCACTATAATGTATAAGTATCAACATTTTTTCAACATTGATATTTATAATATTAATATATTTTTAATAATATTATCTGATAATACAATTTAATAATACTCTCTTTCATAATATTAATATATTTCAAGAAATATGACAGAGATTAATCAAGATTGTTTATTTACTTTTATACATTGATGATATTCAATCTGAGTTAGTACTAAAATTATAACTAAGCTAAGAAAGAAGATTATTTTCTCTTATATTAATTCTTCTTACACACATCAGTGATCAGTTATTGAAAATAAATTATTATCTTTCTTAAATTATTATCATATCTTCTGAATTCACTTCTTTCACTTCTTTTACTTCTATTGAAGATTTATAAACTCTTCAAGAAATCACTGTGAATCACAAAGTCTATGTTGTTTGCAATTCAACACAGAATACTCTCTTTCAATTATAATAAATAATCACTTCATTCTTCACATCTGATTTCAGGTTACAAAATTTATGAAAAACTCACACAAACACTGAGATGAACTATGAAATAATTATTAATAGATTGTATTATAGATTACTGAAGAGTTATCTCTCTACTATAATTACTATAACTTTATTCAGAAACATTTATTATAAACTGATTATAACTCTGAAGAAATTTCTCAACATTTGAAGTCATCAGAATGCAGATAATAAAAGAAAAATAATTAGAAAATTACTACTGAGCTGATAAGTTACTCTATTAAATAATGATTTTTAGTAATACTAACTTTCTAATTTGAAGAAAATCATGTGAAAATGATTATATATTAGTACTCTGATTTCATAACTCTCATCTGATAACTTTCATGAATAATTACTTTATATATATATATCTCTGAATCTTTCTCTTTAATTAATTGAAAACTCTGAATTCTGAACACTTCTTCAAATACTTAATTCAAATCTTCATATTTCACATCAATTGTGTCTTCAGTTCAACCTTGAGACATACTACAAAGTCAATATATAATATCTAGAATCAGAGTTGAAGAATCCTTGAAAAGTATCTCTCACAGTTAATACATGAACTAGTATAAACAATCTTACATTTATAAGAATTATATGTTATTATATTGATAAGAACTGAACTTATTAAGAGATATTAATTGAATTTGAATCATTGATCAGTAGTCATACTGAGAATTATATAGTAGAGATATTAATAACTGTGATTAAAAATAACTATTAAGATATTAGTCTCAGTCTTCTTACAATTATAACTGATAATACTGTAAATAACTACACTATGATGAAAAGCTTGAAGCAAAAATTGACTTTGCATTTCTGAAATAATAAATAAGGTCATATTCTCTATATTACTCATATAATTCAACTTATAATATAAACACTGACAAAGAATCTTAATATCAAGATAAAGAATAATAAGATGACTGATTCTTGAGATAAGAGTGAGATAAAAGTGATTACTTAAGTAACTTTTACATTTACTTTATAAAAGATAATATTTTTTGATAAGACTTTTTAATAATATTTTTTAATAACACTTTTTAATAATACTACTGTTAATTTTGAATAGATTGATTAATAATTTAAATATCATAGATTTGAAACATTACTAATGCAATTTGTATCTTTTCTAAACAATAACAATGATTTCATGATATTCAATAAATAAACAAATCAGTCACATCACTGAATATGATACAGAATGTTAGAATATGATGAAGTTCAATATATAAGATGACTGTTCAAACTCTTTGATTGCATCAGATGATTGATCATTGAGTGCAACACTCTGATTAAGAAAAGATTCAGACATTGAAACTTTCTGATATGAAGTGAACTCAGTTGAAATATGTAATTAATTTACTGTTTCAGTTTTATAAGATAATAAAGACAGTCTCAATCACTTATACACCAATGCTGCAGTCAGTCTGGTGAATGTATAACAGTTTATTTACTTATCTTGAGAAGCAGTTGAATCACTTAAAAAGAAATTCAGTTTGAGACAATGCTATAGTGCAGGCTATTATTACTGTAAGGAATAAACTGGTATATTATTACAGTAAAACTGAACAATCTTTTATAGAGTACTATGCTGTAGCAGCTCTACTAGATCTCTTCTGTCAAGTTAATATCTACACTTCTCAAGATTGAACAGAGGAGAAATGAGACTTGTATGTCAAATTAGCCTGAGACTACTACAATGTCAACTATCAGAGATTTGAATGAGCAGATGTTCAAGATATGAAGACAGTGAAATACAATTTCCTAGTAAGTAATGATCTTTGATAATGCTTCATATTTCATAGAACTATAATACTAACTTTGAAACAGAACTTGCATACATTGATTACAACTGAAAATCAGGCAAAACTACATGCTTATAAAACTGAATTTGACTGCTATCTTCAAGATGATCTGATGAATTTACACATCAAATCAATTCTAGAGTTATGAAAAATTGTTAAGAGTATATATTCAACTGTTGCACTGATGATATGTGATATTCTGACAATTTCATTAACAGAGGTGAGAATGAAGTGAAAGTTCAACTCAAGTTGAGATATTTATCACTATCACTGAGAACAATTATAAGGAGAAACAATCAAGAAACTCATGATTATAAAACATGGAATTATCAGACAGTTTAATACCTCTGATCACAGTATATCAGAGAAGTGTAGTTTTCATGAGAAAGTAAAGAATAAACTTGTACAAGAATGTATTTAGTTGTTTCATAAGCATTATCAATAATCATTATCAAATTCTGATTATATAAGCAATCACTGAATGAACTGAATGAGACTGATTTTGATCTTCAGTCTCAGTTTCATTCTGATTTTGAAAGAATAATCATCTTTCACAGTTTATTCTGAGAAATTACTCTCATTTCACTGTTCTTGAATTAAATCTGGTCATTTTTCACACCATTTCTCTCAGAAATGATTCATTTTCAGATTTTTTTAAGGCTTGGTTCTGGTGAGACTCACACTAAGAAATGTATGAGATCAGATCAAATGAGATTAAATGTGAAATTCATAGTTCTGCTGACCAGTCTACTTAAGATTATCTTCACACATCTTATCTATAAAATTAATAAGAGAAATCATTAATTTCAGTATTCTATTCTTAATATTATTCAAGTGATAGCAGAGTTCACTCTGATCACACTTTTTAAGTGTATATTTTCTAATTATTCATATTTATACAGATATATACTGATTATTTATTAAATAATGTTAAGATAATAGCTTATCACAGCTGTATTACTCTCACTGTGAGAAATACACAGTTAATGATGAACATTGCAAAGACTCTGAGAAATAAGTATTTTAAAAATACTACAGCTCTGTGATTTTGATTTTTTTTATTTTTATTTTTTATTTTTTTCTTTCTCTTTTTTTTTTTTTTTTTTTATTGTGATTTTTTCTTGTTTTTGTTTTGTTTTTTGTTTTTTGTTTTTTTTTATATTTTTTATTTTTTTTATAATTAAAATTATATGAATTATAATCTGTGTTTAGAAAAGTAATAATATTTAATAACACTCTCTATTGAATTTTCAACAAATGAGTACTATGTTATGATATTATATAAGTGAGAAATGATTTCATAGTCTTATTTAATGCCATTCTTAATAATGAAATCAGAATGAAAATATAACTAAGAATTTAAATATATTCTTTATCTGAAACTAGATTTTTATTTGAAAAGTGAATCTAAGATCTTTAATATTTGAAATAACATGATTTGAAATCAATGTAATAAACATAAATTATAATCAGAAGTAATGCTTTTAGATAATATAATAACTATAAAGTTTGATTCTAGTCTCAGACACGGTCACATAGTCAGTCTAGTGAGAACTCAGAATTGAGATATCTTAGCTTGAAATTGTATGACAAGTCTTTTGAATTACAAATCTCAGAATGACTATATAAAATTATATAATTTATTAATTTGTAAGTAATTTAAAAGTAATTAATAATTAATTACTAATTAATAGATAAAACATGAGTTGGAAAAAATTCAAAATTGAGCTGTTTATAAAAAAAATGATGTTATTGCTTCTGAATTGAATAAATATTATAGTTTAATATCTTATACAGTATATAATTCAGTTTGAAATTATACAAATGCTGCA